ATAACAACGTAGCTTCTAGCAGTATTTCTAATGTTCTAACTTACTTTCTTTTTATCTGCTGAACATATAAATATTGTAAAACCTATACCAGCATCGTCTCTACCCATAAACAATTTACGCTACTTTCGCCAGTCTTGTGCTCTTGTGCCATGCAAGTGGAAGAGTTCATATTTGTCCAGTTTAAGACCTTATCTTACAGAGAATATGAACCTTCCTTTGATTTATTTTTTAATCATCTTCGACTCAAAGGGAAGAATGGTGTGCTGGCAAAGTTTAAAAGTTTCAATTTCTTGGGGATGCACGCGCATCGTGGCCTCAGACATCAGTCCAGGTTCACAATCAATGACTCCAGTTTCATTCGCAGATGTAGCATAAAGTCATAGGGAAGTCTGTAATATTTTATAATTCCTGTTTTGTATGCCAATGGGTTATAGCAAGCATTCGCAGCTAACCATGAAGAGAAATGCACTTTCTCAAACTCCATCTACGAATGCGATGTTTTACTGTGATTGCGGTCTGCTACTCCGAAGTGAAAATTGACGATGGCTCCCAGGAAGCAAACGTATAAGTTTCCATTCCATTCAGCTGGATTTTTTTTCAAATAACCACTTTTCCTTCACTAACATGCGCTTTCTTCGTCATCCAGATCATTAGTCCTTGAATTTGACTCATTCATCGACAGCTCACTCAAAGGAATGCCTTACAATTTTAGTGGCGATCGTTCTCCAGCGTTCCATAATTTAACCCAAGTTGAAAAATAACAGAGTATGTTGAGCAGGCGAACCGAATAGAAAATAAAATTCCGTTTGCAGAAATTGACTGTTCACTTAAATTTATTTGTTTTTCGTAGCCTCGGGTAAGTCGATTTCTTGTCATGACGATATTCAGTTCATTTTGATCTAATCGACACAGATATGTTCTAAACATTAGTCAAGTACATGTAAGAACAAGTTTGGCGCATAAAAATAATCACGTGAATATGACCTTCTATACTGTCTATTAGCCTAACAGAAAGCAAGTCAAAACGGAAGTAAGTTTATAGCTGTTATTCTTTTACCACATTCGTGACGGAGCAATTTCTGGTGTCTTCCTTTTTATGAAGTCAATTGTGCGACGCTGATCTCCATTCCTGTGCCGTCAGACCGATGTGTCTCGCCGTATGAGGCAGAGTCGACAGCGGCTATGTGGCGAACATGTATGTAGCCTATTGTTTTCTTCCCACAGAGTGGTACTCCTTTAACTGCCTTGGAAAAATGAAGAGAGCGACAGCACGCAGTACCAGAACCAGCAACTTCTATGTTCTGTGTCAGATTCTCTACCGACTAACAAATGCGGCAACTAGCAGGCTAGCGTCTATCAACCGCAGCTTATGCGAACATTTACAAGTAAAAACGTTATGAAAAATGGAATACACGATTTTGAATAAGGTTCGAGTAAATGATGAAAGATGAATACCAAAAAATTAATCGCCTCCAACATTCAATTAAACTTTATCACTGAAATAAGAAGGTAAAGTGATGAATGTTAATCAGTTTTTTTCAAGCTAACTCCGAGTGTCATCAAGACAAGGAATTTTTTCATGAGGTCATCGTAACGTCTTATCGACTCCACCTAGATTCTTACGTGGTACAGCTGATGAAATCAACCTTCGATAATAAAACTGCTCCACAAGCAGTTCAGGCATAGCATTTGCGTGTTTCGAGTAAGCACCCCAGGTGTAAGATGCAGCTACTATTCACTGAATAACTTGGATTGTTTCGTCATTTGCTGAAACGGCATGCAGAAAAGCGAAATGCCTCTCAGAACGAAGTCAAGTATGTTATCATTTTCATAGTGTATTATTAGTATGGCAATGGGAAGTGGGAAGGGGAGGCCGAGGGAGCAGTGGCGCAATGTAGTGGTGCCGTGTTTAAACCCAACTCGTGGCGCAAATTTGCGCTGATTTATTATTAATTTCCTTGAGAAAGAAATTCGCTCAACTGTTTCAGTGCATCCAGCTGAAAAACGGATAGTGGGTCGTTGACCTGCAAATAATAGGAACATCATGCTGTTTGATGCGTGCGCTTTACGACTTCAATTATGCTTGGACCCACCTGAGATCTGAAAAAAATTAGATTTAGTAATTTGCATTTCGCTTGCTTCATTGTTTAAAAATTTGCACTTTACCATGAAAAATTAAACTATTTGCAAATTATCTGTTCATTGGTAGAGCAAAAATGGCGAGACTCGTAAACAGTGGCCCACATCATCCATAAACAAATCACAGGCGGACCACATGACCATTGCGTTCGCAAAAAATTTATCAGTACCCAGTGAGGAATTAAATTTCATGAGCAAGAGCGGCTTACGCGAAATCACACACCGCATCAGCTTTTTTTAAATCTGTTAAATTTCTTCAAAATGGTCGGAAACTCTTCAAATGTGAAATAACTTAACCAAAGAAAATAAGCGATTGATCTTGGTACAAATATAATGAAAACAAAATTTCATTATTATATTGAAAAACCAAGAATCTGTCATTAAGCGGATAACTAGTATAAAGTTTTGGCGCATGTCAGCAACTGCTGAGGAATAGTTATGCCCTTTCAAAGACTAATGATCAGGTTTTGTTGAACCCTAACTTATATGGTGAAACTACTTCATGCATTCTGGCGACAAGACCAATCAGCTGTGTCGAGGTCGGTAAAATAATATCAAAAGACATAGTGATCTTAATTATGAGGGAGAATCTAGATCCTGTGCAAAAAACAATTTACAGTCATGAAGGATTCATTCACTGAATGATTTTGATAGGAGCCACGAAGCGACGGTGGACTTAACAAAGAAGTCAAAGCAAAGAACCAAGCAAGATGAAGCGAGTAGAGAACGATGAGCAGAGCTACGTGCTATAACAAGATTTTCATCCGCCACAACCGTACAAGGCTAATGTGGTAACCCCTACAGGGTCAGAACTACAGTAAAATAAATGCATGTGCAACTGATCATATTACTGATACATGAATGGTTCCTTCAAATGCACATAAACTATGGTATGGCTTAATTTAACATTCGCTTGACTACCAACACTGAATAACAAGAATTTCGCTAACTCTTTAGTGCTGTTCAGTGCGACACTACTATCGTTTTTTTACATGGTGAAAAACATGCTGAATTAGTCATTTGTGCAACCAGAATCAGAAAATCTTCAAAGAAACGTCTTAAAAATTTTTCCCTCTGTTCAGTAGGGAAATGAAGTTTCTCGTAATTTAATACAATCCTCTTGACTTATTGACATACACAACAGCAATACCCAATGTCATTGTTCAGTGACCCCAGTGGCTTTCCTTCGATGTCTTTTCTTTCGAAAAGTGGAGGCTTACGGTATGCAGTCGCGAATTTTTCTTGCGATGTAACCAAATGGCGTAGCTTAGTTCCCGCACTTGTAAAGTACCCGCACCTGAAAAGTGGTTGCTAACGAAGGTTCAAAGGGCCCGAGTTGTTTTAAGATCTATTCATTGGTTTCGAAATCACCCAGAAGATTTAACATATATCGTTAATATGGCATTTGAAGCAGCTAAATGACTGGCAATATACCTCTCCAATTTCCCAAATTTCACTCCTCAGACATCTAAGGCCAGGTAGAAAATGGCAACTCTTCATACGTTGTAGTCGCTGGTAGTCATGGGCCTTCTAAAATAATCAGAATGGTCAAGAAAGCCAATGTCTCAACAGCCGACAGTTTGGCAATTTATAGCAACTACCTTTAAAGATGCGCAAATGCAAGGGAATCATGGCCTGTTTAAATGGCTCTCTAGGCAATTAGGAGCAAGCTGGCGATGCAACACGGCGTGAAACCTGGTCTTATACGAGTGAAACGTTAATTTCAGATGAAGAAGTTAATGCTGATTATCAGATACAGAAAGCATGCTACCAACATCGAGAATTACACTGCCTGGCGTTGAATTTTTGTTATCTTGACTCCATTCCCTCATGAAAATGATGCCCGCAGATAGCGATTCGTCACTATCTACAAATAGCTCATAAAACCTAGCAGATCATGGCAAAGTCGCAACATTCGAATTTTTACCAAGTTTGAACTTAACAAGCCTCAAGTTTAATCTGCAACAGTCCGTACGCATTAATATTTGGCCATCAATTAAAGAATTTATGTCTTTAGTGGTTAGGTGTTGATTGTTGCGATTTGCCATACTTCAGAATGTTTCGTCACCAAGCTTTTGCTATTCGTGCAGGTTGGCAAACCTCATTATGTGGTCATCACAAAATAATGTACGGAGACATAAGTCCACTGGCCGTTCGCTGTAGTTTGGGCATGGATATTCTTTTCTTCTACGACTATATCTCCATCAAGTTGCAGTTTAAGATCAACGTTTAATCGAATGCTTGCGTTGAATATTAATCTGTCTGGTAAACGCGGGTTTGTGATGGATTGCCTTCTAAACTTGAAGCTCTCGTTGTATCCTTTGAACGTTGATTGCATGACTCAGAATGTGACAGTCCTGAGCAATAAATGTGGCTTAAGCAAGGAAAATGCCTTGCCTAATAGAATTGAAAATATTAAGGAGGACTTCAAATATTGCAAAAAATACATCAGGAGAGCAAAAACGATGCGAAAAAGAGGCAGGAATGGTTCCCATTTTGGAAACACTAGAAGATTGGGCGAACTCAACTACACTGGAAAGAGGCTAATGAGGTATCAGAGATAGGGAGCGGGCAGTTCAACAATTGGAGCGAGATGATAAGCTTCGGTATTATGGAGAGAAGGACAAAACTACATACGATTTTCGAAGGGAACATGTGGCGAAACTGGTACAAGAAGATAGACGCCAGGCGAACAAGAACAGAACGACGTGGAACAAGGCTCAAGGACGGTAGACGCAATTTTCTGCATTGAAAAACGATAAGCACGCATAATCCTATTTTCACAGTGACGTGATGTCGAGCATGTAGTGGAGCATCGAGGGAAGTCGATTTTGAGCATGAACCAGACATAAACGAAGAGTTCAAGTACGGTATTGTGGTCGGAGGCTTACTTGAAAGCGTTGGCCTCCAACCGGCGGTGCTGCGTAAGGAATTCCTTTGAAGACGGTGAAGTACTGTGCATCGACGGTCAGGAACTCCCCACGGATGCTCCCGCTGCTTATGGTCAATTCAATTGGGTGGCTCTTGCGGGCACCATGTGCCACCAACGACAGGATGTACAGTGACAACGATGCGGCATACACGAGAGGCAGCGGCAATAGCGATGACGTGTACATCGATACGACAGTTTGCTGCTGAACGGCTGACCGTCGACGACCACCGGCCGGCCGGTCGTGGTCTGCTTTAGAGTGCTGCTGTCCGTTTGGTTCCACCCGGTCGTACGGCGACTAGCTGCTGGTCGCAATGGTCACTTTGGTGGCGAGCGGCTGCGACGCGCGACGATGCGACGGATTCCGTCGGCACACATCAACATCTGGCGATCAATTCGCAAACAACGGCCGAAATGCCGCCCAAAACTCGATCATATTCTTCCTCGTTCGCCTGGTAGGCGTCAAAGATGGCGAGAGACTGCCACAGAAGCAGACATCGTGGTAGTCGTTGCCGTTCGCGTTACAAGATGATCAACGAGAAAATCGATTTGCTTTCATGGGCTAATCTTGATAACTCGATGGACGCCATTCATATAATGACTGCATCCCTGCTGAATATGAATCGTACGCGCGAAGGCCGTATGAGGAACGACGACGCGGCAAACGAGAGGCAAGAGGCGAGGCGAGGCGAGGCAACGCTGGACTGGACGAGGCGAGGCAGGACTAAGTGGACTGCACCTTCCGTCAACATGCCCACGCCGAATTCAACTCGAGCGAGTAAAGGCGACTCTCTCAAGGAGATGACGCAAAACAGCTGAATCACTTGTGAAGCCGTGAAAAGCGACGTCGCAGACCGTGACAAACCTAGTTACCAGCTATTATTCTTTACCTAGCTATGACTGGTGCATAATTGTCGTACCAATGGCGGCGTTGGCCGCCAGGGAAGAGTTGATTCATTATCGTTATGACCTCGAGCCAAATCGGCTTTCCCTCGGCACGACAGTATATATCATGCCCATTTGCACTGACCTCTTCTCCGACAGAGCTGACATTCTTCATTTCCACAAGATGTGTGGCAACTTTCTTAGCATCAGTGGTTCGTTTGCCATCTGTGATTGCATTCTTAAACGATGTTAATCGTGTGGATGGATTGACGAGAATTTTGTAACGCAGTTGGCTACCAGCGTTGTCCGATGAACACGCTTAAAATTATTCTGTTGTCGTTCGGACCTCGACCGGAAAGTACTTGAGCCCGAACCGTCTTGCTTCGTCAGACGAATGGAAACGAAGACGCATTCCAATAATACGGTGGGAACGTACTGCGATCAGATCGTAAAGATCTGACTCGAACGATGGTGACCGTAATCTGGCTGTTATTCGTTTTAATCACCACCTTAGGCAGTTTGCATAAACGGAACGTCGTCGATTTTTTATGCCTACTGAGCTACAGTTTTCAACCCTCAAGTTACTGCATGATAAAAAGACAAATTCTGTAATTCTGTTTCTATCCTGTGACTCAATGTTGTATGCTGACATTCTGGTTGACGTTTGTCGTGTTTTGGCATCTACATAAGAAACTCACGAAGTGGAGTCAGTGTTTAGTGCTTAAATAGACTGTCTAACAGGGCTAACTTCTAATTTACGAAATTCAGCTATGTCCGAAAAAGAATAGAGTAAGTTCTTACACGGGCCTGCAGTTTTCTCTCATTATGCGTCGAAACCAAAGTTGTTGCACGTGATTCAGCCATCTTTCTTAGTCTTTTGCTAAAACGATATTCTCCTCGCCATATGGCAACACAGATCTTATGCATCCGTTTTGTGGAACGAGATAACTCTTTCTTCCAAATATTGAATGGATATCGAAAGCAGTGAGTTGTAATTAAGACATGAAACGATGAATTGCGCCTGCTTTTCGCATGTTCAGAAGTCGTTCAAAAATTGGGGTCAGAAAGGTACCATCAGTCATCATCAAGATCTGTTGTTGCAGTGAAGTCTGTCTGGCAGAAAAAACTATGTTAGGTTCAGGTTCAATCGCTATGGAAGATAAAAATATATTCGGCTGTTTCAGCGCTAAAACTGTGCTCAGAAAAACATGTTAACTCTGACTGAATCATCTCCAATAACATTACTTATGAAGTATGCTGAAGATTGGGTAGTAGGATCGCGGTAGAAACGAACGCTACCACGCGTCCTCAAACGGATAGATGCACTAGAGACTCAACAGACTGGCACTATTACCCCCATTTCTGAAGGTTAATTATTGGCTCTTCAGTTGCTAGCGCACATGGACAACTAGTGGTTGATGGTCAGCACTATATCACTCTAAAAAACTGGTAGATTAGTTGTCGTCAATAAAGAGTTCTTCTTTCGTTGACACAGCAAACCTCCATTAAATTAAAATTAAAAATTGAGCTGAACGCCATGAATTTTAATCAGCTTTGAGTAATGCTCGTAAATATCATGATGATGACAAAAAAA